TCTTTTTATCTTCATGGAGTGAATAATAAAGAAGTCTGCTATTTGTATATCAGAATGCCGCTACTTCTTTTCCTCATGTTCACTGATCGTGGTTGCACACCAAGCAAGCATACAGACTCATCAAGCAGCATGGGATTTCTGGCAGGACAGCCTTGAGCGGCGTGTGTACCCTTGTATGCGGTTTCCTATAGAGATAAGTAGTTCTGACACTTTTCTGACACTTATTCACAGCATGATTTTTCTGGGACTGACTGAATATACTGAAGTCAGACACAGGCATCTAGCCTTTTCAGAAAGAGGCCTTCAATGGCAGCCCACATACTCCTCTCATAACAACGTCTCTTTAAAAATGCTTGTTTCAAGTCTTGACTTTTCCACATATCTAAAATCTCTACTTGCCCTGTTAAAAGAAAACAGTCCCCTCCCAACCATTGAAAGCATTGACAACAGTACATCAATATAAACAGGAGAGTTAATCAGCAAAGCTTAACTCAGCTCTGAATAACTCCAATCACTCCCAAGGTTGCCGCAGTCGCAGGTTGCAGGAGGGGGGATTGAACTGTGTCCTATGATGTATTCCAAGGAAAAAATTTTAACGGTAAATAAAATCCTGTTTTCTTAATCACATACATCAGGACATCGGAGAGTTCAGACTACTCGGACCTCCAAAAGAAATACCAAGAGGGGCATCCAACAGCAAAAAATGGCTAGCAGGCCCACCAACAACCAACTTCATAACAGGAAGAGGGAGAGAAATGTCCTCAATAGAGTCCAATTGTGGCTACTTAGAAAAAACTCCGGGATAGGCAAAAAATCACCCATTAGTACAGCCCCCTACACAAAACACTAAATAAAATTTTTAAAATCTGTATCATGTAGGAGAAAGGCTTGATTGAATTTTCATGACCTCATCTCTGTAATTCAAAAGATAACAGCATCTTCTCTGCCAAGGAAGAGGTGTAACAGCAGGGATTACATCATATCCTCTCTTCTCTGCAGTAAAAGGAAACTGAAGTTCCCATCAACCATAGGAAATTGTAGTAAATGTGGGTGGGTACACTAGGCCTGTACATGTTTTATGTGTCTGAGAGTCTTGGTCCACCCACCACTGTAAGTGAGGCTGAATTACATAAATGCTTCCTGAAGAAAGAACTACAGAAGAAATGTGTCAAGACCAGTGATTGGGGAATAGGATTCATAGCAACCACTGGTCTTACAAACAGGAAACCAAAGAGAATCAATGGTTCATTCTGAAAATTAATAGGCTATTTCAGAGCAACTACTAAGTGAACCAGAAGATGAATGACATATTCATGGAAGGTAGGAAATCAACAACAAGGACATGTAAATAAGTGTTTGCCCAGGATCTGCTATAAAGACCAACATCAAGATGAGGTCCTACTGAATAAAATAAGAGTGTATCGGTTGTACAATGTTAGTCAACCCCTGTACAAAGGAACAGCAAGGCAGAAATGCAAAAAAAACCAGAGCAAAGATAGAAACCTGTTTCTAGCCCTCAGAGCCAAGACTACATTCCTTACTGAAGGATAAAACTCATGCTACAAAATATTTCATAGGATAGCTGTCCACACACACACTGTGGAGCATGGAACACCAGTAATCCGGAAATGACCAGCTGCAGGGAGAACACAGGCAATACTGATGACCAATCTTTTGCCCTCTTCTTGTCTGTTTTGTGCACAGCTTCCATAAGTCAGGTCCTCTAAGTCTTTAGCATTTTTTTTTTCAGTACAAAGCAGTATTCCATTAATTAGTCTCATACAGTGGTAACAGATGATAAAGTATTACTAAAAAGCTAAAGTGGAATAATAATTTAATGATGGTGCCCCATTAAGAAAAGCCTGTTTGATAGCATAGTATGGACTGGAAATCATTTCAAAAAGGAGTTATAGCACAGAAAATACAGTAGTAATTGGCATTGAGTGGAAGTCTATAGTTGTGATCAGTATTTTGTTATATTTACACTGAAAGGCATGCTTGAAATTCCTATTCCTTTCTTATATGCTTTACTGAGTCCTGCCAAAAATAACATTAGCAATATAATTAAGAATTAGATAACACACGTTCCACTACTCAGGGTGGTGTACAAATGCAGACTAAGCGATCTCTGTTGCAAGGAAATGTAAATCAAGAAAGTGAAAAAGCTCAAACTTTGCATAGCTATTAAGAGAAATATCAACATAAGCAGTTTTCGTGCCTGACTGCTAAAAGACAAACACAGAATCGCTGGATGTGTGTAATTGAAGCTTGGAGAGAAACAACTATGACAGAACAGCTCCTTATTAACAACGAAGAGTCTTGTCTTCATGTGGAAATGGCAAACAATTTATGTGATGGCTTTGTAGCTACTAGAAAATACAAATTGTAGATAACCATATGGCATTTCACTGAATAGAATGAAAAATAGCTTATAATGTAGTCATTTATTGGTTTAAAGTGTCCTAAATTACTTTCCAATACAGAATTTTACATAAATTTTAATTTCTTGAGTCAAATGTGATGGATCTTGGATTTCGTTGGTAGGGCTACTAAATCAGCCAACAACCCTGTTTTTGGAAAAATTAGAACTTCAACCCTGGTTGGACTATCACTCCGTCTCTTCACCACGAGATTGACCAATCTCTAACCTACAGTGTAACGGCCCCCCTATTCCCCTTCGTGGGGTCAACGTGCTCTTGCATTCCACATTGGTGAACTTCTCTTCTTCTCCTAGTCTATATCACACTGCCTTTTCCTCGCCTTCTCCATTTAATTTTTTTGTTTCCTTCTGAGATGATGGGATCTCTCTTTTCCTATCTTATTTCACTTCTCTCTAGCTATTTTATTTACCTTTCTCTCATTTTTTTTTTTTCATCCACCTTTTTTTTCTCCACCGGGTTTTTTTTTTTTTTTACTAGGGCCTCTGGGACCACTGTTTGGTATTGTCGAATGTCACACTCCCCCATCCTTAATTCCTTTCTAAAGATTACGGAATTGACTCTCACCCCCCCACCCACTTTTTTTTCCCCCCCAGGAGTAAGCCAATGATGGGATATTGATGGGAGACATCCCTGCAGTCAGGTTCTATGACTCTACAGTGGATACTTACTGTAGACTACCAGGTTTCACTATACTTCTCGTCATGTATCTTTAAGTTATTACTCTAGACAACCAAACATTAAGCTGTTCTCTGTCACGTGGACCCCTGCATGGGTCATACTCGTTCTTGTGAATCTGTACACAGTTTTTTTCTTTTGAACAACTGTTTAATTATGTAGCACTTACGTTCCCATGCTCTGTTGATCTATTCAATAAAAATGTCTCTGGTACCAAAAAACGTTTGAACTTCAAAACCATTTATTCAATAGGACAAGTCATTGTTACACTGTTGATTCATTTCAATAAGCCAAACACCTATGTGAGAAAAAGCCAAGTGGCTTTACATCATTAGGTGACTTCAAGGATGCTCTCAAAGAGCTTCTAATAAGAGTAATCAGCTATGCCAAAACAGCTAACCCTCTGCAGATATTACAACAATAACCCAAATAGTGCAAGTCCATACATTTGGCTCGGTATTAGCATCTTGCAATGCCCTGTACAGCAAAGCTCAGACTGACAGAGGGAGAAGCAGTGCAAGCAGTCAGTCAGATGTGCTGTAGTGCACATATAACAAAGCAGACAGAAAGATGAGCTCATTGGTCTGCTGCTTATTCTTTCATCTCCCAGTCACAGAGTGGGGAGGGAAAGAGACTGGTGTGTTACTTTACTGCAGCACAAAAATAACTGGTATCATCCTCTGCCAGACAGGGCTGTGCTGTGAGGCAGAACTGTGTAAACAATAGGCCTCGTTCGCACAGGTGTACAACAGTGTACACCTGTGCGAGGACCGTGTTTACTCCCATGGGGATTCACAAGTGTTCTACACATTCCCCCCATTTACTGCCAGCCCCATAATTCTCCAGTGACCCTTTTACTTTAAATTGAACTGCAGACAAAAGGCTGAATACACAGATGTAATAAATACAGTACATGGGAGCGGTCTTACCTGCAAAATGATTCTTATCTTTCCAGTCTTCGAGCCTCTTTCACATGGTTATACTACAACATACGCCTATGCAAGGGATGCATTTACCCACATGGGGATGGTAAAGCATTCTGTGTATCCTTGGGTAGGCAGCCCCATTCATGTCAAATGGGATTCAGCGACTGCACGGACACAACCGCTGCACCCAATTTGACATCCATGTTGGTGCACGGTTCTGAACACAGACAATGTAAGTTCAGGGCTGTGCAACCGTTCGGATGTAAAATTAGGAGCAGTGGCTGTGTCCATGCAGTCTCTGCATCCCATTTGACATGACTGGGACTGCCTGCACAAGGATGCAAAGAACACCTTACCATCCCCATGTGGGAAAAGTACAACCCTTGTACAGGAGTATGCTGTATTATACCCATGTGAACAAGGCCTAAAAACTGAACCAACAGAAATAAAAATCATTTAGCAGGGAAAACCGCTCCTATGTACTATATTTCTTACATCTGTGTATAAAGCCTTTTCTTACAGTTCAGTTTAAAGTAAAAGGGTCTCAGGAGAATTATGGGTCTGGCAATAAATATCTGACCCAGTGTTTGCAAAGCTTTTTTCCCAAATGTTGATTTTCTAACTCAGGTCAGAAAATTAAATATAATGCCATGGGCAAAAACTTTTTGTAATACCCTTGCTTTTATTAATTTGCTCCATGCCTTTCAGTCTTGTACTAGGAGATTCTCATCTGCATGCAGGCAGGGTAACAGGCTGTGTGTTTGTTAATTTAGGCAGTAAAAAAGTGTGAACAATAGAAACTGAGTAAAGTGGATAAAATGTTTTAATTAGAAAGTATGTGATTCAATTTGCAGGATAATAATCAAAATGGTCATCAAGTACTTAAAGTATTTTGTGATTTGTAAGGAAATAAATACCTAGGCACATTAATAAATAAATTAATAAATGATTTACAAACCTGTAGAGTGAACTCACTGGCATCTTCTGCATTTTGTGACAATGGAATAACAAGCATGTTTTGAAGAATGAAGACAGCCTGGAAACAACAACAAGATCTCAATATTGCCATCTAGCGAAAACTGCAGTCAGCTGCAACCAAGCATGCTAATGTACTTCTAGTCTGAGACATGCATAGAAGACATGGCATTAAGATATCTCACCAGTTAAATGCTGGTCCCCCATTACTTTGATCCTCCCTGTATTCATTTTCTAATAAATCACTTTTTATTTTTTTTTAAGCTTTTCTATGCAATCGTGTGGAGATGGCAAAGCTCCAATGCTTCTCTCTACTGTGGAGGTTCCAATAATGGTGCTGAATAACCTGTAGGTGTGATGCTATCCCGCTGGCATCCACAGCTCCCAGGGATATTTGAGGTGCCAGCCAGAAGCAGAGTTCCCACCCACCATTGGCGGAGAGAGATTGAAGTGAGTTGGAGTTTTGCCGTCATGTGATTGCATTAATAAACCTATTACAAAAAACTATAAGACAAAACTAAACTTTGTAATATTTTGTCCTCCAAATAAAAACAGCTACTGATACAAACAAAACAATACTGCAAAACAGTCTGACATATAAAAAAAGACTAAAGAAAATTTTAGCCAAAAATTTCCCCATGACTTTACCAATTACCAATACAGGATAAGAGAAAATAAATTCTAGAACGCTAACATTGGCCATACACCTGGATGTACAATAACTATTCAATCTCCTTTAGCCCTACACAAATGTAGTAGATGTCTGATTAAATAATTCACTTAATTTTTGTATCTAGTTAGGTAGGCTCCTGTTGGTAGACCTCAAAAAGATTGATCACATTGGGAGGTATTGGGCCATCTTAAAATTGACACCCCTGAGGAAGTCGCACACCAATGGCTTCAGATCACATTCAACTTTAAAAAACCATAACTTTAAAAAACTCTCCAACATTTCACACAATACTGGCTTTGGGATGAGACCTGTATTGGGTAAAACGTTAGAGAGAGCTGGTTCTACCTAGGCAAAGCTGTTGTGTGCCATGTCTAGATTTAGTAAAGTTGGATGTTATCAGGTGTATCCCATGTGCCACTTCCTGCTTCCCTTAATGAATTCATAGAGCATGACTTTGGTCAGCAATAATGACAGGATGCTCCCTGTGCATAAGTGTGTTAGCCTGATACAGGTGCAAAGGATGACACCACATTCACTGGGGAATGCTTCGCTCTAGGATTGGGGATGTCCTGAAGCTACTACAAAAGTGGGCACACCAGCTTAGTGCATTATCCCACAGCATTTATTTAAAATCAATAGGAATAATCTACATGAATAATGCACGGTACTACCAACATTTTATTTAATTTCACAGTGTTGACAGAATCTGTTGGTGGTAGGCAATTTTTATACTCCATAAAGGTGAAAGTGGTTAAAATTGGCTGACAATTATGCTAATCATACACAATGCCATTCTGTGGCATTTTGATGCCTATTGATCAGCTTTTAGTTCCAATTTCCTATTTTCAGAGACCACAAGATCAAAAATGGGGGCATAGCAATGGAAACCAGCTCAATAACAATCTAAAGACATTTTAACTGACTATATTCCAGTTTAAAGTTTTGCTTAAAAACAGATAATGTTGGTGATCAGCACTTTGGTCCAGATTGTGCTACTGGGTACTGATGTTCATTGCCTCTCCTTGGCAAAAAATTGGAGAGGTTAGTAAGCACAAAGGGAAGCATCAAAGTAAATATATAACAAAAGCTGCACCATGTTAGGTTAAAACTTTTTTTTCATAGTGATGTATAACTTCAGCCCTGTCCACCAACCTCCTGAACAACCTATGTAATTAGTGTCTTTCTCAGAGTCAGTAATTGTATACTCATAGATGCCCCATCCCCTCCAAATGACAAAGCCTTGGCCAGTGCATAGATCACTTAGGCCCCAAGCATTATAGTTATTGTATATGCTGTCAGATAAAACCTGATTTGTTACACAACAGGAGTGGAAGAAGAAGGGACAACAATGATAACCAATTGACTCTACTGTACACTGCAATACTGCCAATGTAATATTGGGAGACGGATGAAGACATTGAAAGCATACTGAGGCCTTACAGGTGCTAGATACATGCCTCAGCGTCTCACCCTTTTTCCTTTCAATTATAATGGATAATCATAATAAATGAAAGATTGTTTTAAGTCTTTGTAAATGCTCAAAGTTGTTTTTTACCTTCATGCATTCTATGCATGAAGGTAAAAAAAAACTTTTCTGTGCAGCATCCTTCTCCAGCCCCCTCAATACTCACTTAAGCCCCTTCTTGATCCAGTGATGTGCACTGGAGTCTTGGCTATCCCGAGACTCCCTCTCCTCATTGGCCACTGCTGTCAATCACAGCCAGTGAGCCAATGAGGAGAGAGGGCGGGGCCGAGACACGGCTCCGTGTGTGAATGGACACATGGAGCAGCAGCTGGGGAGTACACATGCTCGGGTGCCCCCATAGCAAGCAGCTTGCTGTGGGGGCACCTGACAGGAAGGAGGGGCCAGGAGCGCCGGTGGGGGACCTGAGAAGAGGAGGATCCGGTCTGCTCTGTGCAAAACCACTGCACACAGCAGGTAAGTATGACGTTTTTTTTTTTTTTTTTTTTTTTATTTAAGCCTTTAGAATCGCTTTAACTAAAGAAAAAAATGTCTATTGTGTATTGCATATATCTAGCACCTGTAAAGTACCAGTATACATTCAATGTCTTTATCTGTAATTAACAACCTATTAGGCTGGCTTTTAGGTATACAACACTAGAAGATGAATGGGATACAATAGAACAGAATAGGGTAGAGTAGAACACCGAGTAATGACCTCATTAGTGTTTTAGTAGCTTCTTCAATGACTTACTGGCATCCTGGGGAAGGTTCAGTGAAGCACTGTATCGTTTCACTATAGTGCTGAAAAGTGAAGCTGTCTCCCTGGTCATGTCTGGTAAGAATTATAGGACTGGATGGACAGCATCAGCAGCACAAACCTGTTTACTCATATTCCTCTTTTGCGCTACTTATATTTGCTCACAATTTTCATTTTATGAAAACAGATTGAAATTACCATTGCACAGATCACTAGTACAGTCTAATTAAGGGATTAAGCACACACCAATGTAAATCTGAATATTCAGACAGACTTTCTAAAGTGCAGTACTGTGAAACAAAGGAACATCATTCGTAAATGTTATTTTATTGAGGAGACAAACAGGTACATCAGAAAATATGAACATTCACCAGATCTCCAGAAAATACAAGGTCTGTGATGACAGCAGGCAATATGCAATGACATCGCCACATGACTGCCTGAAAAATCACTTACATCTGACACACTTTTGTTCCTCTGTGTGACTAGCCTAAGAAAGCAAAGTAACGAATACTTATTTTATTTTGTTGAATAGAAGTGCAAAAAAAAATGCCATTTTAGTGATAATTTCAATTCTAAAAATGATAAATGGTAATCCTGTATAGCTTAATGTGCTGCTCCCGTACCTCAACAGTCTGTAGTTGTAAACATTAATTAGGATAATAGCATTAATCTCTGCTAGCCTCATGTAGTAGGTTCACAGTTTCATATGGTCTTCTTCAGCATATCCCAGCCAAATGTAGTAAATGTACTAATGTAGTATGTCCACACTCTCTGACCCTCATTTCCTCTATTAGATCTGCAGATTCTGACAGCCCTCTAAACCATTACATATATTGAACATGTGTGGCCCTTTGGTGATGTTAGGGGCCACGCATAGCTCATACATTGACAACCACTGCTATAGAGAGAAATATATGTAAGACAAATTGATAAAATGTAGAACAGCTACAAGCTCAGTGATAATGGCAAAGTACAAAACTGACAAGGTTTTAATCCAGCAACAAACTTGTACAGTTATACCGATTTGTCCATTTCAACAGCACGCATTTACCAGTTCTGAATGTCCCTTGGGGCCCAATTAGTGCACTTACTCATTGGCAGTAGTACACACTGAAAAACTGTAGCCACTGTCCCTACAGTTCAGATTATAATTAAGACTTATGGCTGATTTGGGCCCAAACCTGCAGTGATTGGGCCTGTATTCAGAAGAACGATCAAACGGCCTATCCATAGAGCCCTATTCGGGGACTATGTGATTTACATGCTAGTTACATAAATAACTGTATACACTCTATCATTTCAAATTGCTGCAGCTTCCTCTCATTACTATCCTGTAAAATGAAAGACTCCATACTATTTCAAAACATAAAGGCAAAACCGGCAGTATGTTCTCATTTGCAACATTTCCATTAATTCTAGTGTAACATGTTATATTATGTTGTAACTGGCATTCATTAAATAAATACTATATGAGCAAATGTTACCCTATATGGGGGGATTGTTAGCTTTTTTGTTATTTGTTTTTTCATTCTCATATTTTATATGTTTTACAAATACAACATACACAAACAAAAAATAGGTCAGAGAAAATAGCCATCTAGGTAACTTGTATTTGCCAACTTTCTCCCTATTTCTCTTACTGTAAATTTTCTATATTTTTTTTTAATATTTCACATTCAGGTCTTGTATTTCTACACTGAAGAAAGTGAAAGAATCCATCCACACAAAATGGATATTTAGTTATAGTCAGAGCCTGATAAGCAGTAAGTGTCTGACTCTGCCTACAGTATGTCTTGGATTCTCCTACCATAGTTCCTGACTTTCTACCAACCTAAGCGTTATTTCAAGTTTATGCCAACCTTTGTATATTATAGCTGTTCCTGTTGGATTTTCTATTATATAAAATATACTTTCAAATTTAAGAAATAGAATGTAATAGGTTAGGTGTGCAGACCCAGAATATCAAGGGCTAAGATCTCATCAACATGTTAGGTTTTTAAAACTCATATGTTATTTCATGGTGGACTGATCCTTAAAAATCAGTTTAGAATATCTTAATGATATAAGCTTACTTATAAATCAAAACAACTCACCTCTTTGCGCACCATGCTGCATTCATACTGGTCAAGAGAGATACTTAGCACTGTTCCCCATAAGCCTCCAGAAATGTTCTGACAACTGTCTGACAAAGTTACACAACCCTCTTTAATTGATGTCAAAGCCGACCCAATGCCCAGGCTAGTGAACCTCACCTGCAAGAAATATTCAAAAACATTTAAAAAAAGAAATAGATTTTTAGACCCACCTATAAAGATGTTGCATGTTAAATCTGAACTCTGGCTAAACCTTTAAATACAGCTGAAGCACATACATGGTAAAGGTTTTTCCTCCCAACACATTAGTAATTCAGTTCAGCTTGTGTTACTCTTTTGTTCCAGGGACCCTTGCAAATAGAACAACTAAGTCCTGCACTCCCTGAGACCTCTCTATATACTGTAAGTTACATGGCAACACTCTGGTCTAGGACCAAACCTAATCTATGCTTTAGCAAAACAGCATAATTAGTAGGTCATCACTCTCTCATTTCAGATCAGTTTTATAAATTTAGCTGCTCCTGACAGGTGCATGCACAACAAGGCATTTACAGATCACTGCATGGTTCCATGACATCTATGAAAGCACAAAGGCCCAAACACGAGATAAGAAAATGGTGCGACAAATTCCCAAATGAAGACTGATTGGGCGATTATCCGTAAGTATAGTGCTTTTGACATCTGATTCCAACTGTTCGGATGAAAATAGGATAAAAATGTAGGTGCAAGTTAGCACATTATTATTGTACGTGAACACAACGTCCAATTTTCACTCAATATGTACGATAATCATATGTAAATAAACAGAAACTGTAGCCGCTGACTTTTAAAAAAACAGCCACTCACCTATCCCACGGTACCCCCGTCGCATCCTGTTTCACCATCCGTCATGTATTCCAGGCACCCGCATCTTCAGTGAGGGCACCCGGCTGTGACAGCTTGCGGCTTCACAGCCGAGTGCCCACTGTCCATGTGCGAGTAGCGTTGCAGTTCCTGAATGGCCCCGTCATCTTCTGGGACCTGTCACGTGTCCCAAAAGACTTCGGGGAGGGAGGATAGGAGGACAACTTCCGCTTCTGTTAACCTAGGCGATCCCAGCGGATATGGGAGCGGGTACCTGTCAAATTCGGGTACCCATTCCCCAAAGGTGCCAATCCTTAATGGGGAGCGGGGGACCAATCATTAAAGTGGAACTTCCTCTTTTGGGTGAAACTCCGCTTTAACACCATTGTTGGTTACATCATGATACGCACATTTGTGAAAAATCAGACAAACAGTCATCCGATTTTCTCATAGTGTGTACTAAGCTTAACTTGCTTGCCCCGAGAACACAGATCTGCATCTAAAAACTGTTTCAATGTGAATGTAGAATCAGTCTGAAGCAATTCAAAAACTGATCTCATGCAAGTAAGTCAAACAACACTATTTTTGGTTTGTAATGCCGGGAGGAAGGGCGGGGTTTAGGGTCATGTGACTGCCGTGATTTACTGTCACATGCTTGGAAAGCTCCGAACCGCAAGTAGTGATTGGGACCTTTCTGTGAGGCGCCGGTGAGTGTGCTGGGAGCGCACTCTCGGCACATCCTTTGTTCACACAAATATGCAGCCCCTTGGTGCCAAGGCCCAGCCGCCGAGAGGCTGCATATTTGCGTGTGCTCGACACCAAGGAGTTAAACAATCTCTAAACCTATATTTTATATCAAGGGTACATTAATCCCCAAATCATTTACTTAACCACTTGCCTACAGGGCACTTATACCCCCTTCCTGCCCAGGCCAATTTTCAGCGCTGTCACACTTTGAATGACAATTGCGCGGTCATGCAACACTGTACCCATATTACATTTTTATAATTTTTTTTGAGACAGATCGAGCTTTCTTTTGGTGGTATTTAATCACCTCTGGGTTTTTTATTTTTTGCTAAACAAACCAAAAACCACTGAAAATTTGAAAAGAAAAAGTTTTTTCTTAGTTTTTGTTATACAAGTTTGTAAATAAGTGATTTTTTTTCCTTCACCGATATGAGCTAATAAGGCTGCAGTGATGGGCACCGATAGGCTGCACTGATGGACACTGAGAGGTGGAACTGATGGACACTGATGAGGGGGCACTGGTAGGTGGCACTGATTGGCAATAACAGGCATCACTGATGGTCACTGAAAGGCAGCACTCATATATGGCACTGATAGGTGGCACTGACTGGCACTGTTAGGCGGCACTGTAAGGCAGCACTGACGGGCACTGATAGGCAGCACTGACTGGTACTGGTGGGTAACACTGAAAGGCAGCTCAGATTGGCACTGATATGTGGCATTGATGTGCACTGGTAGGCACTGATATGTGGCATTGATGTGCACTGGTAGGCACTGATATGTGGCATTGATGTGGCACTGGTCGGTGGCATTGATGAGCACTGACAGCTGGCACTGATGGACACTGAGCCGCGCATGCGTGGTTAGACTGGGAGGACGTCAAATGACGTCCTCCCAGAACAAGAGAACCGCCTTGCGCCAGTCATTACCTTATATGGCGGGTGGGAGGCGGTTAAAGGATAAGTTCACCTTTTGACAAAAAATATTAAATGCATTTTGTTTGCAGGTAAAAAAAATGTACATTTATTTTTTTTTTATGCAGGAGCCTTGGAAAGCATTGCACAAGCAATCAGCAGATCGCCGGTGTCATGCAGGACTCCTGCAGACTTGTCAGTGTATCTGTGTGCCTGTACATCTAATACGAGCAAGCCGATACACCCTGATAGGAAAAATCAATATACTACCACCAGCACTCACTGTGCCGTGGTAGTTCATTGCAAACTACAATCCGACAGCTACTAAGGCTGTCTGGACTTGTAGTTTTCTCATTCACAGAATACTGTGAATGAGTGACACGGCTGAGTGGGTGGAGCATCGCACAGCCACATCTTTTTTATTAAATTGAGACAACTAGCAGGAGGAGAAGATCCCCGCTAGCTGTCTAAGTGGGGGAGCAGAGAGGAGAAGGGGTCGGTCCTTTCATAACATGTTACACCCTGAATGTGGGTGTAACATGTTATGAAAGATCAAGCCACATGCATTCCCATGTAGGTACTAAAGTTCATCAGTACTACATAGCACCATTGGAAAGGGGTTGAGATGTACAAACACCTACCCAGCTTTGAAGGAATGTTATTTTCATGCAAAATGAAAAACAAATGCCTTAGAATACCATTAAATATCACTACACACAACAGTCAACTGACCTTTAGTAAATATAAACCTTAATATTTGACTTGGTTATTCAACAATTTAATTGGATAGACCATAGCTTTAAGTTTGTTAAGCTATTTAATACAGGGGAATTTAAAAAGCAGATGTTCACTGTAGCTGATCCTACTGTGAAAGGTCAGAAACAAGTCAATGACATTTAATTACCAAGTAAATTAAAGATACATTCTATATTCTGTACTACCTCCTTGTTCTTGCATTCAGCTCCCATGAGCATTACAGAGAAGAAGAGTACACACATCAGAGACCGATCACATAATTTATTTAAAAATGGAGTAACACAACTGCAGATAACACAGTGAATGTAACAGGCCAAACACGCGGCTTTAGTTAAGCAAAGATTTTTTTTTAATCTCTTAAAAGGTGGTGGAATTCTGACATTCACACAATAAAGCGTTCAAATGTCTAGGCATATTGAGAACCTCTTGGATTTAGTTGTTGCCCTCAATTTCAAATGGTAAAAGGGTTTGCATAATTCTACCAATAAAAAAAAATGAAATTAACGAAGTAAAGCAATTATTAATTGCTGTGAGGCTAAATCAAAACAGAGAATTTAATGAAAACCTATTTGCACTTGTTAGCCTCCTTTCATAAATGGAATAAACTGATGAAAAATACAGCCTGCTGTACTGGCAAAATAAAGAGGTAATGGAAAGACTTTGAAAAGGTTTTAATGTCAAAATGTACGTCTGTGCAAAGCATATGCAGTACATCGCTGCAATACATGCAAATTTACCCGTTCTGTCCTTTGAAAATGCTGAAAGTACATAAAAAATGCCTGCTGATCCTGCCAGAAATAAAAGTTTCTAGCTTCCTGTGCACTCTGCTACACTAAAATCCTAAGCTGTGTTATCAGACTTGTCCAATTCACCCTTTAGACAACTGAACACCTTTCCATATGTTATGTAAAAGGGAAAGGGGGGGGGGGGATCTGTAGTCCAACAAAGCACCCTGGGCAGGGCTGACAGCACTAATTTGGATTTCACTGCAGTGGTTGTTAGCCCAAACAAGAAGATAGGAGCACACTGGATTTCTCACAGAACAATGGGTATTTTCCTGTGAAGAACGTTTTTAAAGACTAAACCTTGGGAAATGTGCATGTATTGCAGAGATGTACTGAACAGATTTTAGTTTTTTCTCAAATTGATATTGAGTTTATGTGAAATCTCCATTAACAGATGTAAATAGTGTTATAATTACAAGTATATTTTAGTTAGATGGAAATATACAGTATTTAAACCATTGAGTGTTTTGCAGCATCAAAACTATTCCTAGCTTCCATACTGGTATAAATGTATACAGTTTTCCACTATATAAGTTTTTGTCTATTGTTGTCCTTTAGTACATTTCACATGAGTGGTAAACAGCAGCCTTCTTTGAACTTCCAATCAGGCTGTGCCCAATATATACTGGCTAGGTACAGTTTCCAATTAGTGAGCATTATATTAGCCACAATACAGAAAGGAGGGGGGTATATAATGCTTTGTCACCAAGATGTGGGTCTCTTTGTATTGGGACACACATCAGGCAGCCTGACCAGACTTGAAGTTGATTAAACTATCTTCATACTTGTATTGTACATTGTATTGTAAATATGGCTTTGTGGGTAATTTGTAAATATTGTATATGCTTTACACATATATATTGTACATTCACATCAGTCCCTAACCCTCAAGGGGTGTACAATCTAAGGTCCCTAACTTACATTCATACATACACATATTAGGGCCAATTTAGTCAGGATCCAATTAACCTACCATCATGTCTTTGGAGTGTGGGAGGAAACCGGAGTACCGGAGGAAACCCACGCAGGCACAGGGAGAACATGCAAACTCCAGGCAGGAGGTGCCGTGGCTGGGATTTGAACCAACGACCCTAGTACTGCCAGGCGGAAGTGCTAACTATTTAGCCACTGTGCTGCCCTTTAGTCCCATCTACTTAATTTCCAACTGTCATTTCTCTCTGCTGCCTCGTTTCTCTGCTGTCAGCTTGGGTTGTTTCTAATAAGTTTTCCTGACACCAAGAGGAAAAAAAAGGTGACAAGGGAGGGAGCTCCAGCACACAACCTGTGCCTAAGAGACTCTCTGTGTTACTGTGTGCTATGTGAAGGAGGGGTAGGTCCCTTGCCTTTAATCAGCTCTCAGAGCTCTCCTCACTGAGCTCTGTAATGTGTTATTTCAACTCTCTTCCCCCTTTTTCCCTGAAAGCTCAGACAAGCTTTGTCAATTCTAGACTCTGAAGGGGTGTAGAGAAGAAAAGACTGCAGATATACAGATATACCTTACGTAGGATTGGTTTCAACTTTGTGTACCATCTGAGGTCAGTCACTTCACTGGGTATATGAAAGAGTATACAACCACTTTAAATACCACTTTAGGCTCCATGCTTTTTTTTTTTAACTCATAAAAAACTGGAAAAAAAACGCTGCATTAAAAACGCTGGTAATAGCATTTTTAGGAGCATTTAGGAGTGTTAGCGTTTTATTAATGTTTTTACAGTACATGTAGAGGAAAAAAAAGAAAGCTAGAAACAAAGCTGTTAGGAGTATTTTAGTAGCTTTTTTCTCCTCCTAGATGCTGAAGCTCAAAAAATGCTAATATCCTATAGGTCCATGCATACTACTTTAGGCTAACACTATTGCCTTCCAGAAGCGAAGCAGAAAAAAATATGCAGATAATAGCTTTTTGGAGCTTAAAAAAATGCTAGTGTGCACAAAGCCTTAAAATCATATTTGACCAGCTGCAGGTGATATTATATGTACATATTATACAGTTAATGTATGGAGATAGAAAAATAAACATGTTTATTAGTAGGAAGGAAACGTGATGATTTTATCTTGATGATCAGGTAAAGTGCACTAACCTCTGGGTCTCTGTCCACCCACAAAGGGATCAACCATTCCAAACCCAGCCGCGGTATGACTTGTTCTTCAGTACCATGATCATATGGTAAAGACCAAAGATGTACCCAGTCCTGAAAGACAAACCTTTATCTTAATATATGTATACATATATATATAATCAGTTGGAGTAGACATTGAGTATGAATGGAGTAATCATTTAAAAATATTTGTTTGCATGGAGGTACACAGAGTTTGGGGAGTACCATGCCACAGCTCTGCCTAATTCTATTTTTTTTAGTTTTGACTAGCATGGAAAAGGTTTATAATTGCTTAGTTTTTACCACTGTCTCTCTTCTCTTTTTCAACAACTTCTTGACATGGTGCCCACAGAGGAAGTGAACACAACTCTTCACAGGCAGTATAAAAAACCTGACAGTTTCTATCCTCTAGACTTTGCTCTAGATATAGAACTAAAAAAGTTTTGGATGGATACGGCCCTCAAATACTTTCCATTCTGTATGTAGAACATTTCTGTATATAAAATGATTATACTTTACAGAAGTGATGATTATTCCTTACATAGGTTTTAGATATGATGACAAAGTTACAAAATGTGGATTCTGGTGGCGATGTACATGACATATTTTGTTATTTAAGGAGAGTTAGACAGAAAGGCCTGGGCAATCATGTTTCTTTAAATAGCAATATTAGCACTTTTTGTTTTTTTTCCAGTTTCTGAGACTGATTTTCCAATTTCTGATATTCAATACAATTTTTTTTCATGGTTAAATCTATAAAGAATAATATATTTATATATATTTAATAGGCCCAAAAATTTGTGATTTCTTTGCAAAAATATTTTAAATGAAGTGCTGGGTTATCATTTTGCCACCTTTTGCATATGGAATACAGATTTTGGCTCAAAATGTTGTACAGACACAGAATATATGGAGAGGGTGCAAAGATAGAAATTATCACCCAATTTTTTTTTTTTTAAATACCCCATGGGACCAATGGATTGGAACCCTAATCCCTTTCTGATCTGTGCTGCTGTTGTGAAAAAAAGAGAACAGTGTTTTCTCCTCTTCTTCAGGCTGTCGCTCCACCCCAGGCTGGGGGAAGATGGCTTTCTTCTGTACTAAAACCACAGGAATTCGTATTTTTCAACCTAAATCACAACATAACTACTACAGTAATACACTTATTTCTTGATTATTTCATTCATTCAATTCCTACTATTAAAATGGATTCTTATGAGCCACGTGATGTGATGAGCTGCTCTTTGGTAGAGTTTGGGATTACACATGGAGGTCTCTGGAAGAAACTACTTCTCATACCACTGCATAGCCCACTCTAAGCTTTACCTTTTGATCATTTAGAAATTCTTGCCTGGATAGTAAAAAAAAGTAGCTGAATTTGAATGTTACACAACTGGCATAAAGTAAAAGAGTAACCAGACAGATGTTTGTTCTCGTTTTCTACATTAAAATGGCAGCTGGAACCAGACTGGTTTGAATAGTCAACAAAGGTCCTTTTATTTATAATGCCTTTAATGGGCTACCAGGTCATTTGCTATAGTTATAAAACAGGCAGTTTACAATCTATTGTAACTGCCAGGATAGGTATTGTATTGTGAGGTCACTTGTATGTTCAGCACTTCCGCTAATGCTTTGCATTTGTTACATTCATGAACTTATAACAGCCCAGAAAGCACATATTAAATAGAAGATACTTTACATAACAAGAAAAATAACAGCACAGTACAAAAAAAAAGAAAAAGCCCAAAGATGCGACAAACAAAAGAAAGCTGCAAAACATTAAAAAAAGCAAAGTATGCCATAAGGAGGAATTAATTGGTATTTTGCTTCAGTGCCTCAAAGGAGATACAGTTTCAAACAGCCATCTGCACATAATCAGATAGGTAGAAAAGAGATTTTAAAGGATGAAGATATTTGAGTAAACCAAGTCACTGAACCATTGTTGTCAACAAATATAATTCTTTAGCATTGGGGAAAAATAATATATATATATATATATATATATATATATATATATATTTCATATTTAATTGTGCTTTTGGCATGACAGCCAGCGACTTTCTTTTTACAAGAAAAAGATAACATTATAGGAGGAAAAAAGGAAGAAGGAAGACTCATTAAAACTAGATGGAAAGAAAGTAACATTTATGTTTCTGGCATCACATGGATGCCTCTTGCCACACATTCCAGCTTACAAAGAACACCATTTCTATTTCTCACCGTGTTCCTGGCTTGAGCTGTCATCTCATGGGACAAGTGAAGCAAGCACAATACTGTGCTCTTCGTGACACCTTTCCCCATATAGGAAAGAGCATTTCCTCCCCATTCCACATAAAATGATGAAATAATCTGATAAGAGAGGAAAAAACAATTTCATGGTAGCTTGACTTTTACGAGTGTTCATAGAATAAAGTAAAACAGCACAATATACTTCGCTGAACTATGTATTTTTCAATATACTCTCGTTTACAGTAATGATACTGGATTCTTCAGTTAGGAACAACTCTTCTCACTATTGGGCACAAAAATAATGAAATGAATCTGAAACAACCTGTTAAATTTTTCTTATCGAGGATTCAAGTAATTGGCTATGCCATTTCTAGATGTAAAACATGTGGCCAAGAGCAAACAAATTCAATTCTCACTCAAGCTAGACAGCACCACAGTATCCTTTACTTCTTGAGTGCCCCATATCCCCACAGAGTGGAGAGTTTAAATATACATTCAGCTTCCATGCTTGCCACCTCTGGTAGAATAACACAGCACTGTAGAGTAAAGCCTAGAGGTGGCATCCACAAAAGCTGGAAACTACTTGCACATTAGCATGCCCCAGTATTTAGAGGCTGAAAACGACAATAAGAATGAAATGTAGAACAAGAGCAATCAAGGACATGGAAACAAACACTATCCATTGCAGAGAAAGATCCAAATGTACTGCATAGATAACCAGTGGAAAAGGATACCCTTTTATTTTTGCAGTTACAATGAATAGTCGCAAGCTACAAGCACCCTGTCTTCCTGATATCTGGAATTCCATCACACCACTTTAAAAAAGTAAGTGCAGTTATATGGGCTGTTTGGGAATTATGCAAGAAACAGTAAATTGAATAAGGACCTTTCCACATGGGTGATCCGGTCAGGTCTATCTGTCAGTCTTTCAGGCAGACATGAACAGAAGGTCCATGCATTCCTATGGACAGGTAGGTTTAGGCAGATCAGAGGGTAGTCAGGTATAAACAGACTGCAGAGTCGGTTTACTTCTGGCCGCGTATAAAGCAGAATGGGCTTTGTCTGTGTTCGCTCTGCAGAAACTGAGTGGATAGAAATGTATCATTCGGCCACTTTGCTCTGATCAGCTGGGGATCTGTGAGCGGATACCCTGCTGATGGGAACAGAATCCACCCCATATGAAAGGGGCCTTAGCGTGAGCATAAGCACATAAAAGCTAAATCCCAGTTTAGTGATGTCAGGGCTGTGAAGACTGAAACCCTTATAGCCAAGTAGGGTTCTGTTTACATGATCACCCACCTTCTCATGTAGCTATGAAAATGGCCAAGTTGATTCTAGAGCTAGCTATACACTAGTAGAATCTTGTCCAAAAATTATGTTTAAAAACATTAGTTACATTTTCTAATCACTAGTGAGGCAAATCAACATTCATTTTCAACTGCAGTGATGAGAAAATTCGAAAGATCAAGATGGACATTTTTTTTTCTCAAACTAGCAAATTTCTAATAGTGTATTTGGTTTTAATTCGCTAATTTGCTCTGAAATTGATTGCTAAAAGCTAATGAAATATTGATCTACTTTTGAACAACATTCATCAAACTGTGGAATGTACTTAGAATTTTCATACAAAACTTTGAACAAAAATCTACTAGTGTATAAACAGCTTAAAAGAGAAGTATGGACTTATTTTTTTCCCCCATATATACTTACCTAGGTGGATGCAACATCTGTCCGATGCTGCATCTGTCCCCCGCCAGCTCGAAAGTGTGAGAACTCAGCGATCACATGACCGCTGATTGCAGAGTTCTCATAGCTGCTCTGAGCAAAGAGTGATGACTGTCAGTCACCGCTGTCTGCTTTGCCCCCCCCAGCTGGAGCGCTGGGCTGTGGAGAGGGAGGGAGCAGCTGGCTCAGGCTCTCAGCAGATCGCTTAGCCAGGTGCTGCTCACGTCTCTGGGGTGGATTCCATCTTTGAAGTTGGGATCTTTCCCCAGCCTGGACTGGCTTAGTGACATCAGCCAACAGAGGGCTTCAGCCTGCTGTCGGCTGAAAACAGGTCACAGGAGTGCAGAACGAACTGCACTCCTGTGATCTATAGAAGTACAGCCAAAACAGCTTTGGCTGTACTTCTCCTTTAAGACGCTCCAGATTTGGCTTACAGTGGCCCAGCACAGATCTCATGACTCTGCTGCATGCTAGTGGTGCTTGAGAAGAATCAAGTCTCTGGATGGTTTTCCAGTCACCACCTACTGGGATTTTGTTTGCTTGAGGTGTTCCTGCTTACAAACTAAATGGTTTCCTCAGTCATCCACCCAAAGGTACATCCAATGGAACTTATCCTTTAAAAGTATAAACAGAACAATTTTAACTTTAAATATGAATTCACATTATTTCTTTACTATAAATAAAACAGATTGCAGTAACCCTAAAAAATACAGCCATTGATTCCAGAATTGGTACAAAGATGTCATCTGGTCATAAATGTTCTCTTACCTCAAGAAGGCTGGTCAGTAACTTTACACAGATGGTGACTGGCTCTGTCGTAGGGCAATGTGAACTCCATCCTGGCAGTGATGTGACGTGTACCATGCCTTTCAGAGTTCTGGCTAAAGATGGAAGGCCATAGAAATGGGGAGCATCTGACACTTTTAAACAGTCAAGCAAACGCAGGGCTAGTTGTGTTCTGACTGCTCCGGCAAGAGCCATGCACTTCCTGTCAGATTAAAAGTATTTGAAATAAATTATGGTTTGACAGTAATAGGAGGGTTTTTTTTTTTTTTTTTACTGTAGAAGGGAAACTAAATGGCTAGCAAGCAGATCATTATAACAGGGCTGATAAAAAAAAAAAAAAAAAAAAAAAATAAATACAACAATATGAAGCTGTTGCCATCAGGTTTCATCCCTTATTATATAGAAAAATGATAAATCTTCACATTTGTTCCAGTTTTACTTTCTCCAAAGTTTTTGAAACAATCCTATATATCAGATTTTCTATCAGATTCAATTTTCACCTTGCACTGTAATTTAAAACAGAACTCCAGCCAAACATAAGATAAAAATTATTAGTCTGTTTAAAAAAAAAGGAAATAAAGCTAGATTTTGATGCTTTATTCAGCTTCACTCCAGAGAAGTTCTTTTTTTTTTGCTACTAGATGCTCCCAGTCTGATGACCAGAAACAATGAACTCACTTCCTCTGAGCCCAGATCATCCTGGACCTGAGAAGCAGCACAGTGATTATTTCATCTCGCTGTTGTCATCTTCTCTTTCAATTAGCAGTCTCATTTTTAGTACATGAACTGATTGTTTCCTTATACTAATTCTTCCTTTCACACTCTAGTCCTGCTGCACAAGAACTGCAAGAGAATACATTGTTTTAATTAAAAAAAAGCCATTTAAAGTGGTTGTAAAGGGTAAAGTTTTTATTTTTTTTACCTTAATGCATTGCCATAATGCATTTTCTGCATGGAGGTAAAAAATCTTTTAGGCAAGTATTTGGGGAGGGTGGGGGAGCTGCAGCTGAGCCCAATCTCGATCAAGCAGTGTGCCTGAAAGCAGTGACACTGCTCTCTCCCTCCCTCCCTCTTCACTGGACTTAGTGAGAGCAGTGGGAGCCATAAAATCCAGTGGCAAGAGAGAGGGGGTTTGGCCGAGCCACACTGTGTGTGCCAATAGATGCACATAGTGTGTCTCGGGATTAAGTGTACTCGAGTGCTCCCATAGCAAGCTGGGGGGAAAGTCAGGAGAACCAAAGGGGACCACAGAAGAGGAGGAGTGGGGCTGCTCTGTGCAAAAACCATTGCAGGGAGCAGGTAATTACAATAATAATCATTACAGAACTGCATTAATGTGCTTTATAATCTGCTTAGAGTTCAGCTTTAATAGTAAATATTCTGTCCATAGTTACATAGAGTAGATAGGTTATACACACAAAAAAAAAAAAGGGTCAATCAACATTGTCATGGTAAATGACATTACTTGAAAGTTCAGAACTAATCCTGTCTATTCATTTGTTATATCCCTATCATGGTGAGACCCATTTCTCTTAATTCTTACCCTAGTGTCACAGGATAGATGTAGGTATAATCTCCCCAGCAGATATCAATGTAAAAAAAAAAAAAAAGTGACAGATTCAAACTTTTCCCACATTTTCCAAAACCAGAAGTAACACAAATATTGGCTAGCGCTGCCTTGGGGAAACAACTGATAATGCCATAAAGTAAAAAGCAAGCATGTATTTTTGATGTCTCTGCCCTAGGCAACCCTAATAAACCTCTGACTGCAAATAGCTGAATTTGAATGGAAATTGCATTGTATTGAACAGACACTGGAATTTTTCCCCAAACATATTTCCTAGAGAAGTTAAGCTAGGAAGGACTGTTATCATAACTGAACATTAATAAATATGATGACAAACCTAGCGGCATGTCATGCAGTCATACCGTAGTTATACAAGCAAAAACAGTTGCCTGTTAAGAAAAGTTAGCCACCAATAAGTGAATAATTAACAAGCCAAGCTAAATGTATCCTTAAATAATTTTTCTGTAAACACACAAATACATATTTTCAATTGCCATTCAAAACGTGAAACAGAGAAACACATTAAATACTAAACCAAAATGTATGTTTATTGGTCTATGAAGAGAATAGTATTCAAGCCTGTTCCCTGGCAACAAACAAATCAGATGCCAAAATTGTAATGTCTGTTATAAAACAAATTATGTGGTTGGCATATCTTCCATTTTTGTCAATTCACAACCACTCATAGTGCGATACAACTGCAGGTTTGTAAAGAGACCTTTTCAGGTGATCCTTTCACTACTGACAGTTTTCTCCTATGTTCCAAAACACAATCCACAAAATACAAGTTATTGAACAAAGTACTGTGTTACCTAAGAAATCTTGAAATTATTAACCACATATAAGAAAAGGGAAAGTAAAACAAGGTTCTGGAAAGATTCACTAAAGCCTATTCACAACAAAATACCTAAAGAAAATATGACTAAAGAATACACTTGGTTTTAGTTCTCAATGACCATCAAACCTCAAAAACCAAAAGAGTAGCTAGGATCTGCAATCCAGGAGATCATGTGACAAACATTCTCAGCAGAGGCCAGCCGAAATGTGATACATCTATGACTATTACCACGCAACAAAAGTCAATCTAATGATTGACTTCTGTCGAATGGGAATGTTGGAAAACTTTTCTAAACCAGCCGGCTGCTGCCAATCATCTGCAGTCACTGACCAGTGTATTCTGACAGTTGAGAATTACCGCAGTGAGAAAAAAAATGAGCCAACGGAGAGAATTCTTCTATCCTTCTCATTTGTGTGGATGGTGGAACCTGTTCATTTATTTATTTTGATCAGCCCACTGGCTGATTGAGGGAAAAATTAACCACCAATGGCCATCCTAAGCCTAGGATTACTTAAAGCTGAACTCCATCTTTTGTTCCACTTTACATAGTTTTGTTTGGACAAAGCTGGCCCAAACAAACCATGCCCCTCACTAACATCTAAGACCACTGCATGTGCTGTATAAACAGTGTGTAGCGAAGGGTACATACAGCACTGTGTTCCAGTCCGAGCCAAGACTTTTCTGTCTCAGCCATTCAGAGAAAGCCATGTATTCTATCAATGAGTCAGAGAGGCGGGCTGATTATGTCACATCAGAGGAAGCTTTATATCCATTGATAGAATATACTGCTTTCACTGAATGGTTGAGCGCCACTCTGGCACACCGACACTTTGTGATCCAGGTCTGAGACAGGAAGGTCTCGGCTCGGACCACAATACACTGCTGTATGCAGCGCCTGCTACATGCAGTTTATACAGCGGCCTCAGAAGGTAGTGAAGGACACAGTTCATTAAGGCCAGCTTGGCCCAAACGAACCATGTAAAGTGGAACAAAATATGGAGCTCAGTTTTAACAAAAGCCAACACCAACAGATAATTATTCATATTGGATATTTTTTTCCCATTCCCAATATTTCAACTAAGATAAGACAGCCCTTGGGCGTTTTGTATCAGTTGGGAGAACATGCCTGTGCAAAAAAGTATGGTTAGGTTCAAATTAATGTGATGTAATTTTGGCACCATTTTCAGTGTGATTATGTGATGCAACTTTGATGCGTTTTTGCATATTCTCTGGGGCTACATTGCACTGTAAGATAGCACAGGAATATTTTCCAAAATTGCACCATTCTGAGTCGCACTGATGTGAATGGGCACCATTGATAATAATGTGATTTCCCTTGTCATGCAATTCTCTGTGACTCAAGCTGCATCTGAAATTGAAATAGTGTAAATGGAGCCTAAATATCCATCAAGTGACAAGTTTCTTGGAAAATAAGACAGTTCTGCATTTGATGTCTACTATTGGTAAGCTATGTGATTTATTGATTAAGACTAACCATTATCTCTCAACTGTAATGTTCTTTGAAATTACTAGAATGGGAGTTTGCTTCCTTCCTTTCATTCTAAAACAAGTAATATTTGTTCATTACAAAGTACTATATTATGAAAGGGAAGGCAACTGGACAGAAAGCAGAAAACATTCTCTGTAGCATTTGCTCTGCATTCCTTCAATTTATTAAAATACGCCATGTCCAAAAGGATCAGTAAAAAGTGTATTTTGAGCTGGCACTTCCTAGCTAAATAAAACAATTCCTATGACTGTTGGAAATTTTAATGACAATATTTTCCTGCCTATGTTGCCATACCAGCCTTCTTGATGTTAACGATCAAATCAAGCAAACAAACCTCACTCCAATAGTGTCATCTAAATTGGAAATCATATATAGGAAGAGTGAGGTCCTTTGAAACAGCAGTAGGTTTGGTCGTTGACTTGGGTTATACTATAGGGTCCTCAGAAGCTCAGATTTATAGTTATGTTGCACATGGCTTGGCCTGCTGTCAGCGTCATTAAAAAGATTTAGATGATCTAAGGGCCTGAAATAATAACAAGAAAATCTTTCACTGATGTAACCATTTTTTTAAGTCACTATGTCCCTTCTTCACCTTGCCATGTGTTTTTGGGTAATCATTAAACCAACGATGTGACTGTCATGAAACCTCTGCTTATAAACAGGAAGCTCCGACAAGGAAAAGTACAGTATGATGCACTTTCCACAAAAGCCTTCTTCCATTCCTGCCACTGTTGTGCAGCTTTCATTCAATTTCAAGCCTGTCCAATCTACCTAATTCCGAATCATCAGATAAAAAGAACAGTTCAATCTAGTCATACTTGGCAGCAGCTCTGTGTTGGATCTTAATAAGTGTGACATCTGTCATGAAAATGTCTTATAGGTAGCAGAGATCTCCTTAAATAAGCACCTTGGCTAATCAGCTATCCTGCCTTAAAATACAGTATTCTTTAAAGAACTCTGAAAAATATAGGAAGCAGCAGCTTCAACTATTCCTGCTAAAGACTGAATCCTGATGAGGGAAAAAAAAAAGACATACCTATCATAGCTCTGGCAGCTTGACAAACTGCAAGAAATATTAAAGGGTCGGAAGTGAAAATACAAGAGCTATCTATATTTTATATATGGGAACATAGTGGAGGATTGTTATCTTTGAAATATAGGAAACTAAGCATGAGCCTTGATAATGTAACAAGTGGGAATAAAACAGTCTATACAATGGAAAATAAAGGGATGGTTGCACTGTGGTTGTAACTTTTTATTCTGTACCGTATTTTATAGAGAAACCAT